TTTTTTTTTTAAAAAAAAAAAAAAATATATATATATATATATATATATATATATATATATATAATTGTTAAAAAATGTGTATTATTTATAATATAAAAATAAAATAAGTATTTTTTGGGTGGGGGAATGTGGCCTGGACATGTTTCTGTAAGATTCACCTGTGTATATATATATACTAATTCAGTAAACATGTACTGTGATAGTTCACCCAAAAATGAAAATTCAGTCATCATTTACTCACTCTCATTTCATCCCAAACCTAATGACTTACTTTCTGCTGTGAAACATAAATATTATATTATTATTATTTAAAAAAACAAAAAAACATGCACACAGACATTTCTAAAAAAAATTCCGGTTTGGAACAACATGAGCATGAGTAAATGATGACAGAATTTTCATTTTTGGCTGAACTATCCCTTTAAGGATATCAGTGTCAGTGAGGAAAGTTCTAGAGATTCTCGGCCAACTAAGCTGTTTTTAAAGGTTATCTGTGGTCAGATGTCTTGTTCAGTGTTAAATACTTTATAGAATTATGCGATGCTATTATAAGATCTGCTACTGTGCAAAATGTTTCTAGAGACCAGAGAAAATACTTTTTTTTTCTGCCTGCCTCTGTCCATTTTTTTCATCAACTTGATGTTTCTGCTTTATACCTTTCTTTTTTATTAAATCACAGTTACATTTGGGCATTGTCATTGCTCTGGCCCTTCTGCACGCCGCTCAAAGCTTCACCTTTGTTTTGCTTGGGTTGATGAATGAGTTCTAAGCATGAGCCTCACTAACTCCATCGAAGAGCTTCATTTAGAAATGTATAGTATTTAAAAGTTTTTTTTTAAGTAAGAAGGAGCAATGCGATAAGCTAAATATATGCTGTGTGTATGTTAAATGTTGCTAAAATGAACAAACTCACGCAGTCTGTTCTGAAAGACCATGTTCACTACCAAATTTCACATAACTTGCTTCTTAAATTCAAGATACACGTCACACAAACAAACATGGGTTTTGTTTGAGATATACGTTTCATTCGCAGTAGTTACTAATTGCTTATGATTATTGATTCTTAATAACTAGTTACTATTTTCTAGTATTTTGTTAGAATATATTTCTTTCATCAAATTTCTCCACAGAGGGAGAATATATTAAAATGTTCATGCGAGGACGACCCATCACGATGTTCATCCCATCGGACGTGGAGAATTACGACGATGTCCGCACCGAACTTCCCCCAGAGAGACTCAAACTGGAGTGGGTGTATCCTTTCTAGCATGCTTTGAATGTATTGTATTTTTCAATGGTGATTTAAAATGCTTTACATAGGCAACGTAAAGACATAAAAGTCAAATCATAGCATGACATTACATAAAAATGCATTTCAAAATAATGTGAACATTTTATTTTAAAAGGGATTAGAACTTTAATTTAATTTATTTGTATTTTTTTTTTGTTTTTTTCTAATGGAGAATTACGACGATGTCCGCACCGAACTTCCCCCAGAGAGACTCAAACTGGAGTGGGTGTATCCTTTCTAGCATGCTTTGAATGTATTGTATTTTTCAATGGTGATTTAAAATGCTTTACATAGGCAACGTAAAGACATAAAAGTCAAATCATAGCATGACATTACATAAAAATGCATTTCAAAATAATGTGAACATTTTATTTTAAAAGGGATTAGAACTTTAATTTAATTTATTTGTATTTTTTTTTTGTTTAAGTACAAGTATAACATACATTTTTGGAATATTGTTGTATTCCCTGTATCCTCCTTGACTCAGACGTGCAGATATGGCTACAGGGGTCGTGACTGCCGTGCAAATGTGCACTTGCTACCTACCGGGGAGATCGTATATTTCATCGCCTCGGTGGTTGTGCTCTTCAACTATGAGGAGAGGACACAGCGGCACTATTTAGGACACACTGACTGTGTCAAATGGTGAGACTGAAAACACATATCGTGTTATTAGGGCCATACAGTTATCTATTGGTCTTATCATTCGTCATATGGGACTTTGTCACTGACGGTGATTAAATAACCAACTCTCACTGAAAATTTCACTGAAAGATGTTGCAGTTTTTCTTGCTGAATGGCTGTCATTGTGAATTCCGGTTTAGTTTTGTCTTCCTGAGGCTGTGTAGTCACAGGATGGAAACGACAGGAAAATGTCTTCTGTGGGCCCTGATCTAAACAAATGAGCTGATGTGGTGTACAAAAAAAAAACCTTAACAGTGGGCATTGTTAGCAGTGATGTTGCTGAGCATAGCTGTTCCCGTGGCCTTGTGAATATTGGGTAACACTTTAGATTTAGGTATTGGGTAAGGCAAGGGATCTAGAATAGCCTATAGTCATGGATAAGGCATTAATATGTACGTTTTAAGTACTAATAAACAGCAAAATGCTAGGAATGTGTATGCTAATAAGCAACTAGTTAATAGTGAATAGTGTTTCCTAATCTAAAGTGTTACCAAATATTGTCTAAAATATGTATATAATGGAATTCATACTGGTCTCTAGACATCAGTATATGGACAGGCCAGTGGACAGGCAATCCTTATTTGTTGCTTATTTGCCTGATGACATATTAATGATCACAAACAAAGCCATATTCACCTCAGGAGGACATCGGTGAATGTTCTGCTCTCTCTGAATGTCTGTTTCTCTTCTAGTCTTGCTGTTCACCCGGATAAGATCCGTATCGCCACAGGACAGATCGCAGGCGTGGATAAGGATGGCAGGGTGAGTTTTATCAGCGCAGCTACTATGATAAAGCACAAACCTGTGTTTGCCTTAATGTACACTACTGTTCAAAAGTATGAGATCAAATATTTAGATTTTGCGATTTAAAAAAATAATAAATTAATACTTTTATTTAGCAAGGATGCATTAAACTGAGCAAAGGTGACAGGAAAGACTTTTGCATTGTTACAAAAAAAAAAGAAAAAAATTATATATATATATATTTCAAATATATGCTCTTTTGAACCTTCTAATTATCAGAGTATCCTGAAAAATATATATTTTCATAATTTTTAAATTGTAATAATATTTCACAATATTACTGTTTTTACTGTATTTTTGATCAAATAAATGGCACCTTAGTGAGCATGAGCGACGTCTTTTAAAAAACATAAAAAATCATACTGATGCATTAAACAATCATGTAGTTGTGTGTCTCGGAGTATGTAAGCATTCAATCTTTTTATATTCACCTTCTAACAATGGTAAATGATTTATAAAACTTGATTGTTGTACTGTATCTGTATTTCTGCATTGATAATCTTATATCTGCCATGAATTAAAGTATAATACAACTGGCTCATTCTTCCATAATAGCTATTTCTCTCACTTTTTGTCCTGTCAGTATAACTTGATTTGCTCATAACATTTACTCATTGCTCATTATATGGCATTCATTTTTTTCTTTCCAAGGACCTGTTAAACTACTCTACTTCATTTTCAAATATTATGCTCCATCTTTTGGCTTTAGTTATGCTAAAATAAGGTCTGGAATAACTGGCTAGTTTCTATTCCGCTTTAGCAAACAAACTTTCAAGACAAACTATGTCTTGAAAGTGCATAAACACATCAACCTGCTGGTATTCAGAGGATCCCTAAAGAACTTAAAAGCTTAAGCTCTTCTGGGATGTTTACCTCATAAGTTCCTGCTGTGATATTTGACATTGTCTGTATTGTGGATCCTGCAGCCGCTTCAGCCTCACGTCAGAGTTTGGGACTCCGTCAGTCTGTCCACACTGCAGATCATCGGCCTCGGCACCTTTGAGAGAGGAGTTGGATCCCTCGCTTTCTCTAAAGCCGTGAGTCTAGCATCAGCTGTCTAATTTGAATTGATTTCATTGTTTAATTAGCATTGCCTAACCGCTATTTTGATAATTGATAAGCCTGGCATTTTTTTTTTTGTTTTTTTCTAAATTATTCTAATATTTTTCACAGTCTTGCACAGCGCTCTTCCTGGATCTGGGTCATGTTTGCATGTTTTAATTTTTTTCCCAACTGCCAATAATGCTAACCTTGAAATCAGGATATGCCATAAAATAATATCATGTCTGTGCAAATCGACTGAGAATTGAACAATATTTGTAATTTGGCTCAGAGGAAGATAGGAATTGTGTTGCCTTTGTGACAGTTTTTCTGGTGACTACTGGATAATACAAGACTTCTTCACCTTACAAATGGTGGAAAACCTCAAGTTTTTATGAACCGGGTTGTTTCAACATCGAACACTGCACTCTTTGGTCATTTTCAGTGACTCTATTTGGATGAAGTGCAAATATATAAACAGCTCTTTTATGGGGAGACTGAAGAAACCGAAAGTTTTGTCATTGTTTGTTTGTAAACAGTAATTTAGTCTAAAATATTAGAGTATGGATTTGTGATGCTTAAACTGTGTGTGTGTAGGACTCAGGCATTCATCTCAGTGTGATTGATGACTCTAATGAGCACATGCTCACTGTTTGGGACTGGCAGAAGAAATCAAAAATCGCTGAGATTAAGGTACGTGGACACTTCTTTGATTCATTTGGTTCTGTTGTCTCACATATCACCACTCCCTTCCTCTTTTACCATCTCCCTTCTTTTGTTCCTTTCTTTTAGATTTCTTAGCCCTTATCTTGTTTCCTCCTTCTCCTTTCTTCTCAGCCTTCTCAGCCTCTCCTTCTCATCTCGTTTGAGATGGCTTCCTTCTCGTCCTTTTATGTTTTGCCATGTCTGTTCCATTTGTACCCGGTTTCCCTGCACATTCCTTTTTTGCTTCTTCTCATCTCTTTGTTCTTCATGTAATGATTTTGCCAATATACTGTTTTATCAGACAACCAATGAAGTGGTCTTAGTGGTGGAGTTTCACCCGACTGACGCCAACACCATTGTCACATGTGGGAAATCACATATCTTCTTCTGGACCTGGAGCGGTTCCTCACTCACCCGCAAACAAGGCATCTTTGGCGTAAGGACACCCATGCTTATATTTCTCATTGGGGAATTTAAAAAGAAAATAGTTCACCCAAAAATAAAAATTTGCTGAATATGTACTCACCCTCAGGCCATAAAAGATGTAGATTAATTATTTTATCATCAAAATTTTGAAGAAATTTAGCATTACATCACTTGCTCACCAATGGATCCTCTGAAGTGAATGGGTACCGTCAGAATTGAGTCCAAACAGCTGATAAAAACATCACAATAATTCACTCGTAATCCTACTCTGGTCCATCAGTTAGCATCTTATGAAAAACTGCCTGTTTTTAAGAAACAAATCCATCATTAAGGCACTTTAACTTTAAACTGTCGATTCTGGCCAAAATCTCAATCCATAATAATGCTTCCTCTAGTGAAAAAAGTCCATCCCTTATTGTCCTCTCACATCACGACTTTTTCACTGGAGAAAGCGTTATTATGGAGATAAGGCTTGTATTTTATACAGAAGGAACAGTTTGAAGTTAAACTTATCTTAATAATGGATTTCTAGTGGATTATTGTGATTTTCATGTTTTGGATGAACTATTCTTTAATGAGCTTTTTATTTGACAGTCGAGTTTCACAAAGACTGCATCATTAGACTAGTTTCAAGATCCCTCTTTGTCTTGCAACTCATTAGTATGATTGTTCAGACAGATGATTTTAATCTACAGTTTCAAAAACAGCATATCAGTTTGAAATAAACAAATCGATTCAGAACTCTGATTCATTGATTATTTAACATAATTACTCAGAAGAGGACATGGAAGACTTTTTTTTTTAATTGAAATGTTTTGGTTAAAATATATGTACTGCAGGTAAATATATATATTTTTTTTTTACTATATACTTTGTTATATTGTTTTATATATTTGAGCTCATTTAGTGAATATGAATGTGAAAAAACATACCATAATTATTTTAACTAGATTTTTACGGATTGGGGAAAAAAAATCGCCGTGTCATACCATTTCAGAGAAAATACAGTAAATTTTGAGTTGTGTATGAAATAGTCAAAAGGTCAAAAAAATATCAAGATAAATTTTATTTAAGCAACATTTCTTGACTAATGCTGCAGTCAGCTTGATGTACAAAGCACAGACTAGTACACAGTACATGGAGTTTATAAAACCTGACTTCACATTTAATACTTTTGTTTGTGTGTCTTTGACAGAAATATGAGAAGCCCAAATTTGTGCAGTGTTTGGCTTTTCTCAATAATGGAGACATCCTGACCGGAGACTCCGGAGGAATCATGCTGATATGGACCCGCAGCACCGCTGAACCAGCACCGGGGAAAGGGCCGAAAGGTAGACACTTGTCACACACACACATCAGACACACACACATCAGACAGGCACACACAAACACATCAGACACACACACACACACACAGGCACACACAATCACATCAGACACACACACACAGGCGCGCGCACACAGACACACACACACACACACACACACACCAGGCACACACAGACACGCACACACAGACACACACACACCAGGCACACACACAGACACACACACACACACAGACACACACACAGACACACACACACACCAGGCACAGACACCAGGCACACACGCACACACACACACACACACAGACATTATTAGCCCTGCCAACATGCTAAAACACATACTTCACATTAACATTCTCCTCATTTTTCCATCATCACCTGCATTTCCTTACAAAAAGTACTTTGGTGGCAAGTTATAGTATCCTCCTCCAAATGCCTTATGATCCGCTTCTATGCAGCACGCTCTGAAACCAAAGAGACTCCAGGCACACGCGCACACACACACACACACAGACATTATTAGCCCTGCCAACATGCTAAAACACATACTTCACATTAACATTCTCCTCATTTTTCCATCATCACCTGCATTTCCTTACAAAAAGTACTTTGGTGGCAAGTTATAGTATCCTCCTCCAAATGCCTTATGATCCGCTTCTATGCAGCACGCTCTGAAACCAAAGAGACTAGAGAAGTTCCCGCTCACCATCAAAGAAAATAAAGGAAGTAGAAGAGGCCAGATGCATGTAGGGTCCACATTATGTTCTACCAAAAGACACATGTCATATTAACAGTAGCAGAGAAGTTACTGCACAGGTCAGGAAAGGCTGTAGGATTTACAACTCTGACGACACACTGCTATAGGAAATCTTTGTTTATTTCTTATGTCATGACTGTGAAAATTACATGAAAAGCTCAGTTTATGATTGCCGTTCCCTAGTTTGTTTTACTCCAGTAGTAAAATACACTCAGTTAAACAGAGGAATTTATTACACTATGGTAAATGCAACATATAAAACCTCGCTGACCCTCACATTTGACCTACTACGGCCCATGTGTGCTCAAGTTTATGTAAAATAATAATTTATTTGCAACAAGTCTCTTATGATCACCAAGGCTGCATTTATTTGATCAGAAATACAGTAAAACAGTATTATTGTGAAATAGTATTACAGTTAACCGTTCTGTTTAAATGTATTTTAGAATGTAATTTATTCCTGTGATGCAAAGCTGAATTTTCAGCATCATTACTCCAGTCTTCAGTGTTACATGATCCTTCAGAAATCATTCTAATATGCTGATTAGCTGCTCAAGAAACATTTCTTTATATTATCAGTGTTGAAAACAGTTGTGGTATTAGAAAAGATGTTAGTAGCATGGCACTTTAAGGTACCTTATCAACGTTTTGTTTCGTCACCACTATAATGTTAATGAGGCCAGCATTCATTTCAGGAAAACAGTGACGGAAACAGAAACTTCTAGAAACCTGTGGCAGAGAGTGACTTTCAATGAAAGTGCACATCTCGTGAAATGGGATGTGACTGAAACTGTGTTTGCATGCACACATGCTAGTGTCTGTGTGCACAAGTTGACAGATTGTTTTCTCTGTGTTGATCCTGGAGTTGTAATGGTTTTCACTGGCATGCTGTGGAACTGGATTGGTTGCACCACAGGCCGAAACTCTGCCAACTCCTGCTCGTTTATCACTCCTTTATTTACCCCCTCAATCTGTACAGTGCAGTCCTGTGACACAGCGCCCCCTAAAGGACGGAAACTACTACTCCTACTCCCAATCACAGAGCCCAATCGAGCACTTGTAGTAGTTTTACTTGATATTTTTAAATGAAATTAATGAAATTCTTCATTAATCTATCAAATCTGTAACTTTCAAAACTCAAACTCTTTCCTGAGTCCAAAGAAGTGCATTTATAGAAGTTCAGCTGCCTGTGGCTCATCTCAAACTTCTACATAAACAAATGAATTCATAAGCACGACTGCCTATATTTATATATCAGTGACACCTGATCCAGAAGCTTGGCCCAGTGTTATTGCATTACCATTCAAAAGTTTAGGGTCAGTAAGATTTGTTATGTTAAATTAAATGAATACTTATATTCTGCAAGGATGCATTAAATTGATCAAAATTAACAGTAAAGACTTTTCTGACATGCACTGTGAGTTGTAAGGTCTTATATAGACAGGTGTGTGGCTTTCCTTATCAAGTCCAATCAGTATAATCAAACACAGCTTGACTCAAATGAAGGTGTAGAACCATCTCCAGGATGATCAGAAGAAATGGACAGCCCCTGAGTTAAATATATGAGTGTCACAGCAAAGGGTCTGAATACTTAGGACCATGTGATATTTCAGTTTTTCTTTTTTAATAAATCTGCAAAAATGTCAACAATTCTGTGTTTTTCTGTCAATATGGGGTGCTGTGTGTACATTAATGAGGAAAAAAAATTAACTTAAATGATTTTAGCAAATGGCTGCAATATAACAAAGAGTGAAAAATTTAAGGGGGTCTGAATACTTTCCGTACCCACTGTATATATACAGTATATATATATAACGAATAAATATGGCCTATACGAGAAACATATTTTTACTTAAATAATAAATTAAGAAAATGAAAGAAGAACTGTGCAAGAAGTAGCCTAGTATGCAGAGTTTCGGTTAAGTTTTGTGCTGCGCGAAAGGAAACAGACGGCATCCTATTTTTCTTTAGGTTTATTTTACAAAAGCACAAAGATTTGTTTTTATTGTGAATGTACACAAATAAAGGCAAACCTATTACAATTCCGATTATCTTTGACTAAAAGGAGTAGTTGCTTCCACTGTTAGAAGGAAACAATTCAAGTGATTGCGCTGGCGCCGCATGCTCGCACACAGTTACGCATTGCTACCTTGACAATGCAGCCTGTTCATTATCATAATAAAATACAGTCAGTCAAACATATGGAAAAAAAATATGTAGTAAAAAAAATATGTAGCTTAGGCCTAGTAAAAAATATGTAGTAAAATCTGTGCCGTTAAGTGTTATCACAGTACCGCCATAATGTTATGCAAAACATTTTGCTTTACGTGGATATTGGAAGGCGAGTGAAGTACATAATAAATAATAATACTCCATTCAAATACATCGCGAATACGGAAACATTTAATTTTGTGTGGAATGAGAGACCCAACGTTGGTTAAATTTATATTTTATGTTTATATTGCTATAGCTTCTTATATTTTTAATTATTGTTCTTTTATAAATACTGTTAATCGAAAGGATTTGTTATGGAGTGAGGGGAACTAAAATAGCCTAGCTATGTTTACAGTGTTTATTATAATGTTTGTAAACATTTCGCATCGGCATTAGGCATTTCTGAATTAAATAAAAAATGTAACTTATACACGACTTGTTTTTTTTTTCCCTCTAAAAAACTTTATTTTAACCATGCAGCAAACTTTTTTAAATATTTTGATATTAAATATTACTGAAAAAATTAATTAAATGACTTTTTTAAACCGTTTAACTGATTGTATTAATCGGTCAAAATTCTTACGGTCGGTTAAACGGTTAAAATGAACATCCCTACTTTTGATGTTACAAAAGATTTCTATTTCAAATAAACTTCCTATTCATCAAAGAATCCTGAAAGTATCACAGTTTCCACACAAAAGTAAGCATCACAACTGTTTTTAACACAGATAATAATCAGAAATATGTCTTGAGAAACAAATTGGCATATTAGAATGATTTCTGAAGGATCATGTGACACTGAAGACTGCAGTAATGATGCTGAAAATTCATTTACAATGAATACATTTTAAAATATATTACAATATAATAGTTTTTTTTTTAAATTGTAATAATATTTCACACCTTTAACTGTGATTTTGATCAAAGAAGTTGATTGATGAGCATAAGAGACTTATGAATTACATTCTGACTTTTTCCAGATAGCAATGGCATTTAAAATCAAACTTGCATAACTAGATGTGTCTGTTCTTGTATGCTTTGTGGATTAGTATTTTGTTAAATGAGTTGTAAAATAGAGTGACATCGTGCAAAAACAGCAGACAGATAAGCGCACACTTTATGAAAATGAATTCCTGCTTAAGCTGCATAACATCCTCCTGTTACGAAGCCTCACATGTGCTTCGCCGGCTGCTGCTTCATTTCGTCTTTCCCTCTTAAGTCATTTGGCATATGTCATGTCCTGAACTGGCCTCGTCTAGCTGATTTCCTGTCTCTGCGTCTGTACGCTTGCAGATACCATGTAACTGTAGAAGTGCGGTAATGCAGGTGTGTTATAGTGTGTCTGTTCAGAAACGCACAGTGTGCGTGTGGAGTTATGTGTGTATTGACGGGGCTGGATCAGCACTCCAGGGGTCTATATTTCCCTTGGTTTGGCTCTTTGCGCAGACAGCCGAGCCGTCGGTATTATTACAGGGAGAAGTGATAATCTACTGGAATTCCCAGAATGCAACATCATCACACACACACACGCACCCCTGGCCTCACTGGCAAGCATATCTATGAGCTTCTCTTTCACTGGCTTTTCTAAAAGCCCTATCACATCCCCAATGGCAAAACAGTCTGGCACTTAAACCGCATTAGCCAGGAGATATATTTGTGGTATTCTGTTCCCAGAAATGGTGTGCGAGCGGGTCTCCATCTGTCTTACTAACCTGTCCCGTCCCCATAGGAGCATTTCAGATCACGCGTCAGATCAAGGCTCACGACGGCAGTGTCTTCACTCTGTGTCAGATGAGGAACGGCACTCTGCTCACAGGGGGCGGCAAAGACCACAAGATCATTCTGTGGGACCACGACCTGAATCCAGAGAGAGACATCGAGGTGAGAGACAAAGCTGAGCAACGCTCACACTCTCACATGCATGTTTTTAAAGAGATACATATCTGGTATACATTACAAGTAAAAGTTTGGAATAATTACATTATTTTAATGTTTTTAAAATGGCTTTTCTGTAACACTTTACTTAAAGCCTTAATGTATAATGCATTACAAAAGTAGTTTTAATGCATTAATTATGCCTTGTAATGCACCTTATAATGCAGTGTGCAATCTCATGAATAATTGTATCCACAGTTAATACACTGTAACACTTAACAATTCTTTGTTACACTATGCATTTTAAATTTGGTTATAATTATTTATGACAAGATGTACTACAATGCACATTATGAATAATTATTATGCATTATACCCTTTAATAACTCTTTATAATGCATTATACATAAAGGCTTTAAAGGGTTAGTTCACCCAAAAATGAAAATTAGCCCACAAATTACTCACCCTCAAGTCATCCTAGGTGTATATGACTTTCTTCTTTCAGACGAATCCAGTCGGAGTTATATTAAAAATTGTATTTGATCTTTCAAGCTGTTTAATGCCACTCAGCGGGTGTTGCATGCATCAGTCCAAAAGAAGTTAAATAAAAATGCGCAACGCTGAACTCATACATCTGCTTCCCTGTACAACTGTTGGTGCAAGCTACATTAAAGTGATTATTAAGTTTTGAATATGGATATTTTTCTTACAAAAACGCATCGATTCGCTACAGGAGGCCTTTGTTCACCCCCTGGAGCCGTGTGAGACACTTTTTTTTATGGATGGGCGCTTTTTATTTAACAACTTTTGGACTGATGCATGCAACACCCACTGAGTCGCATCAAGAAGAATCAAAGATCAAATTTTTAATATAACTCCAACTGGATTCGTCTGAAAGAAGAAAGTCATATACACCTAGGATGACTTGAGGGTGAGTAATTTGTGGGCTAATTTAGATTTTTGGTTGAACTAACCCTTTAAGTAAAGCGTTACCAAAGTTCCTTATGCACACTGCGTTCATTTGATCAAAAATACAGTAAAAACTGAAATATTGTGTATTTTTGTGAAAAATAAATAAAGATTTAATAAATATTCTTAGCGACCCCAAACTTTTCAACAGTTGTATGTATGATACTAATGAATAGTAATTGCATAGTAAATTAGTTACACTTTATTTTGTGGAGACATTGTTACAGTGTAATTGGGTCAAAGACATAATGAGGTTTTCAAGCATCAAAGCAATAAAAGTTTAATACAGCTTTACTTTTTTCTTTTCTTTTCTGAACATTAGAATGTCCCGTTTAATTTTATTAACAATAGTTCATATACTGTACCAAAAAATCTTGTCAGTCATATTTATTACAAGAATCATTAGATGACATTAAAAAAATTTGCCTAATGTTAAACAACTACATATACTGTCTTTAGGGTTTGGTTAGGGTTAGTTACTTGTAATTATGCATAATTTACTGTTACGCTAGTGCATGTAACATGTAACTATGTCACCCTAACATAAAGTGTTACCAGAAATCATAGCATATAATATGAGAAACATCACAAACTCTTATAACAAGATAAGAAAATAGCATATCTATCATGTGTGATTGTTTTTCTTCAGGTCCCAGATCAGTATGGCACTATTCGTGCAGTAGCTGAGGGCAAGGGTGAGCAGTTTCTGGTGGGCACTTCACGCAACTTCATTCTGAGAGGCACCTTCAACGATGGATTCCAGGTGGAAGTGCAGGTAAACCAGATCTTTTATCTCTTGTGCAGCCTTATACTCCTAAAAATAAAGGTTTCAAAAGGGGGTTTTGCAGTGATGCCATGGAAGAACAATTTCTGTTTCCCCAAAGAATCTTTCAATGAACAATTCTTAAAAGAACCTTAGGCCCTGTTTACACTAGTGTGTTTTCGTTTTAAAATGAAAACGATCCTCGTCTACACTGGCGTTTTCACTGCATTTCAGAATCGATCTCCATCCACACTACACAACCGAAAACGCATGTCACGTGACCATTCATGCAGGTACAAATACAGAGTTCTGGCATGAAACTCTAGATGGTGCAGTCCGATAGGTCTAACTCAATCTCACCTAATGACATCATTATCACATGGCTCAGCTGATTGGTTCTCTCCTGTATCAGTAGCCAATGAGTTCGCTGCTCAACATTCAAATATATGACTAGTGCTTGCCGTAGCAGTGCAGCGTGCTTCAGAAATCCCCCACCTTCCCCAGCTCCACCTGTATAGATCTGCTACGAGGTGATTCATGTATGCTATATGGGGGTTATTTCATGTATGTTATATTTGCAGCAGCAATATTTCTTACATGCTCACAGCAGCATGTTGTGTATGTATTGGCAGTAGCAAGTCTCGGTACTTGCTCTGCCGCAGCAGCAGCGTAGCAGATCTATTCCGCCAAGACCAAATACATTAACATTGTATCGCCATCGTTTTCAAAAGTCTCAGTTTTGCTCTGTTTACTCTGAAACGCAACCCCAGAGTTTTCAAACTAAAACAGATCTGCAGCGTTTTCAAAAGTCTCAGTTTTCGAGGGTCGAAAACGCTGGAGTAGTGTAAATGACAGGTGTAACCGTAGCAAAAGTTATACATTTTAAAATGGAAATGCAATCCCGCACACTATCAATACTTGCTAAATATTGAAGTTTGTTACAAGCACAAGCAATGTTTCAGTCCACTGACCTTCATCAGGCATATGCTTTTTATATTTTTGATTCGACAGTGTTGTTGGACTATTTTTCCTACCCACCAATCGTTAAACCAAAAGTTTTCAAATGAAAACGTACTAGTGTAAACGTAGCCTTAGCGTGGTTATTTTAATGATCTGAAGAACCTTTTTCTATTATAAAGAACCTTCTGTGGAATGGAAGGATTCCATGGGTGTTAAAGATTCTCAATGGAATGCCATCAAAAACCTTTTATTTTCAAGAGTGTCGTGAAGATCAATAAGCTTTTTTCCCCCCACAATTCTCAATAATCCCAATAATCTTAAACTCTCAAATACATAGGGTGTATGCTTATCAAACATGCACTTGTACCTGCAGTCACAGTTATAGAGTTAGTTTCATGGGACTCTCTATTTTTAGGGACACACGGATGAGCTGTGGGGTCTGGCCTCCCACCCGTTCAAGGAGCTGTTCCTCACCTGTGCTCAGGACAGGCAGGTGTGTCTGTGGAACTCAGTGGACCACACGCTGGAATGGACCAGACTGCTGGACGTAAGACTCCAACAAACACACATTTGCACGTATACAGTGCTGTGAAATTTTTTTGCCCCCCTCCTGTTTTTTTATTTATTTTTTGCATATTTGTCACACTTAAAAGATTCAGATCAACAAACTAATTTTAATATTACACAAAGATATAACCCAAGTAAATACAAAATGCAGTTTTGAAATAATTATTTCATTTATAAAGGGAAAAACGCTGTCCAAACCTGCCTGGCCCTGCGTGAAAAAGTAATTGCCCCCTAAATCTAATAACTGGTTGTGCCACCCTTTGCAAAAACAACTGCAATCAGGCGTTTGCGATAACTGGCAATGAGTCTCTCACATTGCTGTGGATGAATTTTGGCCCACTCTTCGTTGCAGAATTGTTTTAATTCAGCCACATTGGAGGGTTTTCGAGCATGAATGGACTTTCTAAGGTTATGCCACAGCATCTCAATCGGATTTAAGTCCAGACTTTGACTTGGCCACTCCAAAACCTTCATTTTGTTTTTCTTGAGCCATTCAGAGGTGGACTTACTGGTGTGTTTGGGATCATTGTCCTGCTGCATAACCCAAGTGTGCTTGAGGTCACAAACTGACGGCCAGACATTCTCCTTCAGGATTTTCTGATAGAGTGCAGAATTCATGGTTCCATCAATTAGGGCAAGTCGTCAAGGTCCTGAAGCTGCAAAGCAGCCCCAGACCATCACACTACCACCACCATGTTTGACTGTTGGTATGATGTTTTTTTTATGAAATGCTGTGTTGGTTTTACACCAGATGTAACGGGGAACACACACCTTCCAAAAAGTTCAACTTTTGTCTCATCAGTCCACAGAATATTTGCCCAAAAGTCTTGGGCATAATCAAGATATTTTTTGGCAAATGTGAGACGAGCCTTTGTGTTCTTTTTGGTCAGCAGTGGCTTTTGCCTTGGAACTCTCCCATGGATGCCATTTTTGCCCAGCCTCTTTCTTATTGTTGAGTCATGAAAACTGACCTTTAGACTTTGTCAGACAGGTTCTATTTAAGTGATTTCTTGATTCAACAGGTCTGGCAGTAATCAGGCCTGGGTGTGGCTAGTGAAGTTTAACTCAGCTAATCACAGTTTAATCACAGTTCTTTCATGATTTAACAGGAGGGGGCAATTAATTTTTCACGTAGGGCCAGGTAGGTTTGGACAGCTTTTTTCCCTTAATAAACGAAACCATCATTTAAAAACTGCATTTTGTATTTACTTGCATTATCTTTGTGTAATATTAAATTATGTTAAATTAATGTTTGATTATGTGAATCTGTTAAGTGTGACAAATATGCAAAACATTTAAAGGGTTCCTATTATGCTTTTCACTTTCAACTTTAGTTAGTCTGTAATGTTGTTGTTTGAGCATAAAAATTATCTGCAAAGTTACAAAGCTCAAAGTCCACTTCAAAAGGAGATATTTTATTTAACAGAAATCACTTTTCAAAAATTACAATGAACGACTCGTTTGGACTACAACGCATATTTTCCGGGATTTGTGATATCACAAATATCGACGAATGGGACGAGACCTGGTTGAGCTACACTAGAGAAGGCAACGTGTGTTATCACTATGTCAGAGACACGCTAGCTTTCCCAAGGCAGACAAACTTAGAGTGGTTCCAATCATCCGGGTTTAAATCACGCTCAAATTGATTTGATATTGACGCAATATTTACACTGAAGCTCGCAGGTGGCTATGGTAAGGGGCATGACATTTCCCGACCAGGCACACAATCACAGCACACACTGGCCCAGCTAACCAATCACAGCACATTTCGTATTTCAGAAGGCGGGCCTTCATTTGATACAGGAACTATTTGAGCCATTCATGCCAGACTGAGGAGAGAGGTGTTGTAATAATGTAAAATATGTGAAAAATAATGTGTTTTTCGAACAACCTAGTATGAGAGCCTGTTTTAGTACACCCCCAAAACAAAATCAAGACTTTGTAAAAGAGCATAATAGGACCCCTTTAAAAAACAGGAAGGGTGCAAAAACCTTTTCACGGCACTGTATGACTGTCAGTGGCCTGTTAAATATTGCAAATATTAATAATGACAATAATAATAAGCACAATACGCTAACCTTTCACCAGGTAATATAGTTAATCGGCTTCGTTAAAGGTGGCCTTAAAGGGCATAACCACTAAATGTTTCATTTTTGTAACTATCAAAACAATCCAGGGCTACCGTTCTCTGTTCTGTACTTAATTTCACTGGTTACTGGTATAAATTATGGCCCAGTGCTTTGTTCTTTTAAAAAAAACAAAGACAGCTTGTTTGTTGATTTTGTGAAAACTTTCTATTCATCTAGATGTAATCCGTACTGAATATTTCTCAGAAAACAAAGCGGAATAAAGAGATGTTGGGGAATTTGTTGGCAAACTTTATGACACATGCCATGACATTAGTGGTTCTTGCAAAACCTTTTTATTAAGACATCAGTAAAAAGTCAGTTTGCCCAGTTTGGCAAATGCATATTTTTTTCACGGAATCATTAATTGTAACAGTGGTTACTGTTTTTGGACAGTGTGTCTCTGAGCTGAGACTATGGTTTGTAGGACCTTGAAAGATTGAAAGATACACCGAACAACCACTAAATACCCCTTGTCATCTTAATTTTAGGCTGTTTACATTTGTATTGATGCAGTAATACAGTATTTAGTTGATGTATGTATATCAGGTTTCTTTTTTTTTTCATCCACACATTTAGAGCAGTGCTTTTCAACCAGGGGGCCGGGACCCACTAAGGGGCCTCAGCACATTTCCAAGAAGGCCATAAAATGGCTTAAGATTATTAAAAAAAAAAAAATCTCTCTCTCTCTCTCTCTCTCTCTCTCTCTAAAGAGGCAAGTTCTAAAATGTTTATGAGGTAGAAATTTGAAAAAAAAGTAAAGTCTGGAAACGTCATGCAAATGCATTGTTTTTTTGAAATGCAAAAAACCATGTGACAGTACTAATGTGTTCATGTGTTTTTAGGAGCACGGGCATTGCGCAGATTTCCATCCTAGCGGTTCGGTTGTTGCCATTGGTACTCACTCAGGGAAGTAAGTGATCTCTATATCATCTCTATATCAGGTTTACATGAAAAACTTTGCCCAAATTGAACATAAAAATGCTTTGATGACTGTAGTTCAGAGATTGTTTTGTATGTGTCTCAGGTGGTACGCTCTGGACGCAGAGACGCGAGACCTGGTGGCCATTCACACAGACGGCAATGAGCAGCTGTCATTGTTGCGCTACTCTATCGGTGAGTAGGAGTGTGGTTTGTTTGCATACTCTGTTTTTTTTTCTTTCTTGCATTTCTGTGCCGAGCAGACCACCAGACGTCTCTGTGTCTCTCCTCAGATGGCACGCTGCTGGCAGTGGGATCACATGATAACTTCATTTACCTCTACACGGTGTCGGATAAGGGACGCAAGTACAGCAGATATGGGAAATGCACTGTGAGTATCTGAAATGTATGTGACTGTTTGCATAAAACAGCTCAGTGGATCTCAGGCGCATTGAACTCCCAAAGCTTTACTACTGTGCTTGTCCTGACTGATAGAAAATTTCCAAAAAAAAAAGTAATTTGTTCAAAATTTTACCTAAATCCTAAGGTTGTTTTATTTATTGATTTATTTATTTATAGACATTTTAAAAATATATTAGAAACAAAAAATAATACAAAGAATTTGAAACTAGAATTTGAAACATGCATTTAAAACGTATTCGTAATCAGTCCATAAATAATGTATTTTGGTTAATATTACAATTCACATAATTGTTTTATGGCTGTATTATTGTCTATTTTCACTATTCCCCTTTCTGCTGGATCCGAGGGGTCAGGGAGAGTGGAGAATAAAACTTTACCATGCGTGACCGTTTGCCCATGTCTGACCTGGGTCTCGTTTCGCTCTGCTGTACTCCATCAACACACTCTGAATCACACCACTGTTCTTCTAAATTTTTTTTTTTTTTAGGATTTTTCTGTGCAGTTTTTCAGTAGTTGAGAAGTTTAATGTCATTAACATCTGTGTTCAGTCATAGAGTCATTCTCTGAAACGGGTGCCTTACAGAGTACATTTGTGTAGATTTATACATTCTGTCAGACAAATAAAAAAGTTCTGTCATGTACTAATATATTGCTTTGTGAAGGCTTTGATAGACTACATTTATAATTCATTTTGAATTCAAGTATTTTATCTTAAAAAACACTTTAAAAAACATTTCTGTGTTTAGTGTTCTTCATTAAACTTGATGGACACACAAATGGTTCTCCTTTCATAGAACAACCCAATTATGAAATGACTAGCAGAAATGAAATTATTTCCACATAGTCAGTTTTTTTGAGTGTCTGTCCTTCGACAAGTCATAAAGAGAGTGAAGAAACGCTGGTTGTGAAATGGCTGAAGATGTCAGTGGGATTTTAGCGGACAGAATGAAAGCGTGCCTCTCTTTCAGCACTCTTGACTGCCTGACACGTCTGAGCTTCCAGCGGGAATTCAGACATTGTGGGAGCGCTGGCCTGGGGTTTTATTGATGCTGGCAGACGAATCGCTCATGTGTCTGTCAGCGTAGTTGAACCTTGTTACTCACAGACAGATGAGAGCAGATGAACACATACAGTGGCCACAAAACGAACTTGGACACGTAAGCAAAACTTTAAAAATATCAAACTGAGTGATTCGTTGTAAAGAAAAAAGCACAAAAACACATTTTCACGAAAATTATCACAAAGACTACAAATCACCAAAACATCAGTTTATTAAAAGTATTTGAAAATGGCTAGTTACTGAGAAAAGCTCCAACAGCATTTGAGTGCAGATGACATGGTTTAATAGTTTATCGATGCAATTCATAAGAGATTCATACGTTTTACATGTGACTTAAATGTGCAAATGCTGTTGAGGTCAAAAATTCCAAGCAATGCACCGTTGAGCTATAAACCCATTTGCATTACAGTGCAGCCTGCGAAAGTTTGCCTTTTACTGACCTCTTTCGACAGCCATAGAAAGGAAGTTCAGGATCTAGGATAGTGGAAACTGAAAGCACATGTCAATATGTGTATGAAAAGCTGGAAATGGAGAGACCGGTAATCTACAGGGGGACTCTGTGTGCAGATGGCAAGCTTTCACAAACGCGAGACTCTTTAAAACACGTACACACACTCACATGTAAATGTCAGTGCACATATGGGAGGGAAGCCTGCAGACAAGTCAGTGCCAAGTCAGACAAACTGAGATTCCCTCCCTGAGCTGTAAGTCAGACGGTATTAGTTTTGTGTCTCTCTTTGCTCTGGGTGGAGACCCTCCAGCATTATTTATTGAGACCACTGAGTTCAGTCTTTGACGAAGCCTCTTTTTGTGCTATTCCATCCCTTTGATTAGTTGTCAGTGTCAGTGAGACGCTCAGGCTCTTGTTGACGCTGTCTCATTTGAAGAGGGTTTATTTGTGCTTTTAGATTAATTGTTACTCTTATTGCTTTCATGTATCTAGGTTAAAGAGCTAGAATACCTCGAAAATTAAATTGTTCTTATTTTCTCACTAATGTGTTGTTTCAAACCTGTAAGATTTCCTTTAATGGAAAACAAAGTTAGATATTTTGCAGAAAGTCTGATCAGCTGTTTTCCATACAAATGAACATTCACTCTCTAAAGTTCCAAAAAGGACAACAGAGCACCATAACAGTATCATAGATGTAGTCCAAATGACTCACACACATCATTTCAAGTATTTAAAAATGATTTAATCATTTTGGGTGTGGAACAGCTTGCAAATTGCCCTCTTTCCATTCTTACATGGTGCTTCAGGATGTGGTGTTCATTTGTAAAAAAAAATATTATAATAAATAACAAAAGTGTTCCTTAGTATATTTTTTAAAAAGTGTACTTTTTTTCTCAGAAAAATACTTAAAAAAATACTCAAAGTTAATGTGATGTTTTCAGACAATGAAATGCATCTCAATTATTATTCTTATATTTTATATTGAATGCAGTTAGCTGGACTTTAGAGTTTAAGTACATTATTGTATGTAATTGCATATATATTACTTGTATTGTCAATGGAATAGGGTTAAAGTGTATTGCCAAATGCATTTTTGGTAACCTAACAAACTTTAATGTGATTTCTGTTGACATTTTTATGTATTTGAATATATTTGCAATTATACATTTGTAATGATGATATTACCATTTAGTACAACATCAAATAATTATAATCAAGTACTTTACGTGTGCTTTAAGTATGTTAGTCAACACATCAAAATAAGTGTACGTCTTTAAAGCACAACAAAATGTGTTTTTAGTCAAATGTCATGATTTAATCATTTAAAGTAAAACTCTTTAATATTTTAAGATGTACACTTAAATAGCCTTTTATTTCATTAATATTATATTATTGGCAAGTAGAGTTTTTACAGTATATACTTGTAAGATTAGAAGTACACTACAAATGCACATTCAAAACAAATAAGCACATTTCTTTTTCACAAGAGTTGCAGACGGTGAAATGTTTGTTTAAATATTTAATGAGTAACATCTTAAATTTTGGTCTTTTCTTTGAACAAAGATAGTGTGTGTCTTCTGATGTCTGTATAGGTTGAATGTAAATTTCTAGTGCTTGTTTTTGTCCAAAACAGTAGGAATCACTGTCAAAATCATTGCAATAAACAGATGAGCTTAGATATTCCACAAAAGGCCTGCATTTGTGTTCAGTTGAAGATTTGAGCAGCTCTGTGATCTATAACAGTTCAATTCGGATTATTGAAAATGTTGTGACAGAACTGTTTTCTTTCTCCTTTTTCATTGTCAAATCTTTTCATCTCTGTCCTCAGGGACATTCCAGCTACATTACACATCTTGACTGGTCTCCCGACAACAAGTTCATCATGTCCAACTCGGGAGACTACGAAATCCTTTACTGTAAGTGGACGACCGCAACAAGCCCTCTCTGGCTCGGTTTCTCTGAAAAACATTCATTTCCAATCGTATTTGATTTTTGTCTCATTGGTTTGGTAGAATAACTGATTCAGCTTGTGGTTTGTGTTTGCACTTTTTTTAACCAAAAGAACTTAAATTTTGCACCATATCCCAGATTTTCCTGACATGTTGTTTTCCCTCTTCCACAGGGGACATTCCAAACGGTTGTAAGTTGATTCGTAACCGTTCTGAGTGCAAGGACATCAACTGGGCCACATATACCTGCGTGCTAGGATACCACGTCTTTGGTCAGTATCTGTGGTGCATTGTGGGTGTTATTGCTAGTAGGGGTTCGATACCTACTGTATAGTACCCACTGCTGAAATCTTACCGCCTTCTAAGGGTCTGTCACTGAATGACAATGTGAATCAAACATGACTACAAGAACGCTTGCTTTGTGTATTATGAGTAAGTGTGCTCTGTGTATGCGTGCCTCGTTTGGTTTTTCCAAATGTGTGGCTGGTATTTGAATTCTTTGCTCTATTTCACACTCATTTCCTGTCAGTGGTTTAGTCTTGAGGGGGTCTTAGTCATTCTCTTTCTCTCGCACACCAACACACGTTTGCTTGGCAATCTAAATGAGGATATACCAGACTTACTTTAACTAACTTTTTAATCTAACTTTTACCAGACTAATAACTTTAAAGGGATAGTTCACCCAAAAATGAAAATTGATGTTTATCTGCTTACCCCCAGGGCATCCAAGATGTAGGTGACTTTGTTTCGTTAGTAGAACACAAACTAAGATTTTTAACTCAAACCATTGCAGTCTGTCAGTCTTATAATGCAAGTGAATGGGAATCACGGCTTTGAGAGTCAAAAAAACATACACAAACTTTATATCACTTTTTACCTCTGATTCACCGCAATGTCCTAACTATCCTGAGTGCAGATCGCAGACTTATTAGTGCATTACCGCCACCTATCTCTCAAATGGACCATTGACACTCTATCTACAATCTCAATTAGGAGTGTCAATGGTTCCATTCACTTCCATTATAAGACTGACAGACTGCAACAGTTTGAGTTAAAAATCTTCGTTTGTGTTCTACTGAAGAAACAAAGTCACCCACATCTTGGATGCCCTGGGGGTCAAGTCAAATTAAAGTAAAATTAAGTACTTGTAATTCGATTATATTACATTTTAAATACTCATAATCACACTACAGTTAATTTTTATAGGTTACATGATCACATATCATTCACAAAATGGCAGTATATTATTCATAATGTATTGATTTGCCCTAATTATTTTTCTCTCTTAAATTTTCCTCTAAAAAAAAATCCATATTTTCAGGTTTTATAGACCTGCACACACCAGCCAGTTGGCAGGTGACTGTAATTACACAGACAATAGAGAGGTTTTAGTTTAAAGGTGATTAGTTTAATTTGACATTATGAATTATTATCTTTTCATCTCTTTGTGAATGCCCTGCATTTCATTTATGATCCCCAGTTTGGGAAACCCTGGTGTATGTAATGTTTATGGCACTTCGTGATGTTGATAAAGATTGGAAAATATTTTCTTACAGGTTCGGTCAAAAGTAATCTAAAAGTAATCCGAAAAAAAGTAGTCAGAATACATTACCTAAAATATGTAATCAAAAAGATTAAATTACTAACTATGATTTCCGTTGTGTAATTTGTAATCAGTAATGGACTACAATTCGTGAGTAATCTGCCCAGCACTATAGATAGATAGATAGATAGATAGATAGATAGATAGATAGATAGATAGATAGATCATAAAAAGTAATCTACATTTTGTAATCAGGTATATGCAAATTAAGGCTTTATTGTATTTAGCTCATTTCTATGGGCAAATTTTGCACATCACCTTTATTTATAGTCTGATTGTCAGTCAGCTGTTCTCCCTTTGCAGCATATTTCATCTCACTTTCCTTCTGTTTTTGCAACTCTTTGTCTTTATACACACAATTATAGTCTGTCGTTCTAATTTTGCTCACATTCTGAGTGACTTCATGTCTAAGCAGGGTGATTTAAAAAACCAAAAGTAGTTCAGACCACAAACTCACTTTATCTGTCAGCATAGCGTGCCGTCTGGTGTGTGCAGGTCTGTAATACTGGAGCACTTTCACACAGGGTGCTTTTGAATACAGCCAGCCCAGTTCTGACCACAACTCCACATATTTTAGCACTTTATTAGACTGGAAAATATTTGGTTGGATTGTACAAATTCCCTAGCACTGAGCCAATAGATTAGAGCAGTACAGTGAATGTGATATTACAGAAAACTGTGTGTGAGAGATTCTTGTACCTGGTGTTCTTCTGCCTCCTGCTGGTAATCTCGTTGAAGGCTCCTAATCCATTCATGATCATAGTTTTTGAATGTGATGAGGCATCTACTGTATGTGCTTATAGATATTATAGTGGCGTGGTCAAATATACCTTCCCTTGTAACAGTTTAGTAAGGATTTGATGTTTCTTTTTGCTACCAGTTAAAGACGGATTTTAACGGAATATTAAATTACTATCAACATAACAGTGCATTTATCTAGCACAAAAATAAATACATTCGGATTTCAACATCAGATTTGGACACATTAAATAAAATGTGAAAATTAAAAGTTGAAGTATATTAAAATGTACTAAGTTAAAACATACCATATTTCTCAACATTATTTAACTACAAAAAAAAAATAAAAAATATTGGGACTGAAGGACAATGAGTGATTACTTTTGAACGGAACCTCTTCATTTTGTAAAAAAAAATAATGAACTGATTTACTAAAATGACTCCCTACATGACACACGATGCGGAAATTTGCATGTCAGTCCATCATGCTGTGAAATGTCAGTTGTTCCTGGAAAAGGTGATACTGACAGCCTACTGATAAATGTCATTATTAAACTGGTAGTGTTTTTCTTCTAGCTACTGTCGTGCACTGATGTGTCTTGGTGTTTGCTGTGTAACAGGTGTTTGGCCGGAGGGCTCAGATGGGACAGATATCAATGCACTTGTGCGATCTCACAACAGGAAGGTGATCGCTCTGGCTGATGACTTCTGTAAAGTTCACCTGTTCCAATACCCCTGCTCAAGACCGAAGGTCTGTCACGTCACTTTACTGTCATATTTTAAAGAGCGTCTTTGCTTTTACATTTTAGAACATGATGTGTATTAGTTGTTTGCTAGATATCTGAAGCCAGATATGAGCCAGTTTGATTCATGATTCATTGGTTTTTGTTTCAGTTTGCTTCAATATACTGAACAGCAATTTGATTCAGTACTTGTTCTTTAAGTTCTTTAAAACTTTAGTGAAAATCCTATTTTCATCTAATTTCCAAATGCATGTTATTGATCTTATTGTGAACAATTTATGCGTGAAATAGTTTTTTGACCTCTTAATTCTTATCGTCGATCTTCCAGTGAAACTACAGATCTCTCTGGTGACATACGTCGGATTTCTCCAATCATTTATTCAACTTAAATTCTTCCTCTTTCATACAATTGACTGCAAATTCAGATCTGCCTCCACCCAGTCAACAATCACTACACCTACAAGTCACTGTCCTACTTTTTTTTTTTTGGTAATCCATTGTATGTCACAACTAGGGGTGGGCTATATACTGGTAGATACAATTAGCCGGTAGAAATGTGTCAACCAGTAGAGATTTTGAACTATCATCTCTATCGCAGTTATGTGCTCACATGATGTTGCTGTGCTACGTGGTCACGAAAACCTATCGTATGCACGTGTTTTTAATAGGGGTGCTCCGATTGATCGGCTACCGATCATTATCGGCCGATAATCGCTTTGGGATGCTTGATCGGCGGTCTCTAAAAAGGCCGATCTCAAAAAAACGATCTCAAGCTGATGACGCACCTGCAGTGAGAGGTTTGGCATGACATGCAGTGGCACCGGTGCGGGTCAAATAATTATAATGCTAAAGGTGAGGTACAATTCACATTTCTTCATTAAATAACTTCTAAAGTAATTTGAAAAACTTTCTGTGAGACATAATTTCACAAACAGCATGAGTGAATGTCTACAAATGGCTTTAAATCACATTGCGTCTTGGAGACTATGCGACTGGAGACACACATAACACCAGGTTCAAATATACTCCATTCGCAGTGTGTATTATTTCCGCGCTCATGTTAACAGATTAAAGCGTTCACACTGCACACGGTTACGGTCTGGCAGTGCGTTCCAGGAGCGGTCTGCAGCAGTGCAGCGATTGATTCCACATCGAATTTGCTGCACGCGCTGAATTAAAGTGACAGAGCATTGTTTGCGGTAAATAAACGAAAATGTAATAATTACACCATAAATGCATATAATTAAAGTCTACTGTGTTTCACAGTCAATAAATATGGCTTGTTGGATAGTTTTTAAGGAAAAGAGCAATTTTAGATAAAAAAGGCAATAAAAGATGGCTCTCGTGGTGGTAGGAAAACAAAGTTTATTACAAGGATTGCTTGTAATAAAGATTTAAATGCCAAAGAAAAGGCAGTAGAGCTGACTGTTTCTGTCAGTGGTAAGTTTTAATTTAGAATGTTTGTGATAATGTAAGAAAAGTACTAAATATTTTGCCACTTGCTTGAGCAACTGCGTTGTGCTGTGTGTAAGCTATTTTGCAACAATTGCAGGAGTGTAAAAACAAAAATGCACTGCATGATCGAACATTTAGGTGAGATAAATGTATATTTTTTTTTAAATCCCCTCCACCCCTCAAAAAAAAAAAAAAACTCTCACAAGAGTCACCTATAAGAGGGAAATTCCCCCAATTTCAAAAATGAAATTCAGGCCCTGAATAAATGTCTAAAAATCCTGATTGGAGTATTACTGTAAATAATTCTACGTGATAAAAATAAGGCTTTAAAAAGATCGGTATCGGTGATCGTATCGGCAGATACTACTTTATGTGATCGGTGATCGGCCTCAAAAATCCTGATCGGAGCACCCCTAGTTTTTAAGCATTGCTGTTTAAAAACAAGTGATTCTAAGCCATTGAAACACAATCAGCAGCAGCAAGAACTCATTTCGCTATATGCTTGCACTGTCTGAAGGACCATTTCTAAGCAGTTTCTGACCTTTTTTTGTCAGAGAGACTGTTTCTGTGCACCGTCAGAGAGGCACGTGAAGACGGTGCTCATAGAGCACGGGAGTATTGAACTGAGTTGTTTTTGCTGCTTTAGGCCTTGAACTGTTAAATAGAGACACTTGTATATGTCAAAATGCCTGTCTTTGCAACTATCTTTATCTTCTTCTTTCGGCTTCTCCCGATTAGGGGTCACCACAGCGGATCATCCGTCTCCAACTATCTTTATAAACACAGTAATTTATGTTTTAAGTGAAACCAAACAGCTGAGAAAGAATGTTGGATCCGGGCAGCTCTTAAAGTGATTGCAGTCTAATATTCCTGCTGTCTGTCATACATGTTAATCAAACAACAAAAGAGAGTAAATCTCTCACTGCTCTTGACTAAATCACTTTTGTAACTTTCGTAAGAATTTGATTTTATTATACAATGTATGTAGCATTTCTTATTCATTTTTTTCTACTGTAGTTTTTTTTGTCCTATTGCTTGTAATTATGTGTATTGTAATTAGTTTCTTATTCTTATTTAATCGCTGACTGGTTTGCTTGGTTTTATAATTTTTTTTAAATTTAGGCTAGTATTAGTTTTTGTGATATTGACACTGGTGACAAGAATTATGAAATTTCTATGGTATCAACCTTTTTTTATATCATAAAGACGTTATTTAAAGAAAAAAATACTATTGTGATATACGTATATCGTTATTGTGAAATAAAATTACTCGTATCGGGATATAATATTTTTGTCATATCACCCAAAACATGAGTTGTAATTGAAGCCTGGGGGATATTATTTTCTCTCTTTATCTGATGTTTTACTGATTTTATTATTTAATTGCAGGCCCCAAGCCACAAGTACAGCGCCCACAGCAGTCACGTGACAAATGTGAGCTTCATGCACAGCGACAGTCACCTGATTTCAACGGGTGGCAAGGACATGAGCATCATGCAGTGGCGTCTGGTGGAGAAGACCTCATCCTTGGTGCACAGCGACTCCAGCTTGGGCCTGGGCGATTCCCTGCTGCACAACTCCACCCCTCGCACCCTGCCGTCGGTACCCAGCGTTCCCCACACTCCTACTGAGCCCTTGCCGGTGCCAGCCTCGCTTCCCCTCAGCACCCAACCCGACACCAACACTCCCCCTCCCACTCCTCCCGAACCCCTGCACACGGTTACTTCTAATGGACAGCAGGACGGCTCCCCTGAAACCCCACCCCCTTCCGATGAGGCCACATCCCCATCTGACAGCACCCTGAGCCCCAAGGACAGCCTAGAGCCTAGCGATGATACGGCCACACCCAGTGATGAGGGCACAACCTTTAACCCTCCCTTATAAGGCAGTCCGACCCCTTCCCTCGCCTGCTCGATAGCCCGCCCAAAGGCACCAGCATGTCACTGCAGCCTTCCTGTCAGATTACAAAAGCAGGGTCTCCTCAGTTTTTATCCTTTCAAGATTTTCTTTTCATTTCGTGTCTTAGTTCCGTTGTTATGTTGACATTCAGTAGATGTGGTTGTGGAGGCATTGGTTTGGGTTGGATGGTGAGAGATTTGGAAAGATTTAGAACACCTACAAGTTTACACTGAGACACACACAACCACACAAACACTAATACACACATCCATAGACACATCAGTAACTGTGATGAATTTAAAAAAAGAAGAAAACAAACGATTTACCAGTTTAGATACAAACAACATGTTCATATAAACACACAAACGAGCAAATACAACATAAAATGGACACATGCTTTCAATTAACTGTCATTTGGCATATACATCAATATATTCATTGATTAAGGATCAGCAACTAAGGGTGAGTTAAGTTGAATAACTGAAACTTTTCCTCACTTTCCTCACCCAAAAAAATTAATGTTCTGTATTTATTTACTCGTCCTCAAGTCGTTCCAAACCTGAATGACTGCTGTGTAAAACACAAATGTTAAAATATAAATGTTTTGAAGATGTTTCAAAGATCTTTTCAGGATCTTTCGAAGATGTTTTGAGAATCTTTAGAAGATCTTTCGAAGATCTTTCAAAAATCTTTCGAGAATCTTTGAAGATCTGTCGAATATCTTTCAAAAATCTTTTGAGGATCTGTTGAAGATCTGTCAAAGATCTTTTGAGGATCTTTTGAAGATCTTTTGACTGTTACTGTCCTTACAACAAAAGTAAATTTGGCCCAGAACAACACTGGACCCTTTTGACATTTATTCTTCAAAACATAATTTTGTTTGTTCTGCAAAAGACAAGTCAAGTCAAACAGGTTTGGAACGACATGAAGTTGAGTAAACAATGTTCATTTTTTGGGTGAACTATCCCTTTAAATGAGTAAACCTTAAAAAAAGTCACAAGATGTAGATGTAGATGATTTGTATTCTCTCGCTCTCTGTGAACATTTGTGGAGGACTGCATGTAAAGCTGATTTGTGTGCTTGCATAGCATATGTCCCTGAGCCAAAAACTACAGGACATGTATATCTGGTGATACCAGTCAGGTGCCCCTGGCTCATTGATCAGACTCAAGGACCTCAACAATTCAAGCTGCTTCTGCTGGTTGTCATGGTCATGGACACCTTGAATTTCAATTTGGCAGTCATACTCAACAGCCATAAACAGCAGAGCAATTCATTCAGTACAAACACAAGTAACACACACTCACAAAAGCCTGACCTGCCTCAAAATGGGGTCTGCATGGCAATAGCCGAGCTATTTTATAAATTAAATAAAATCAAAACAATTTCGGTCTCATCCGCCTGTCTAAAGGTGCCGTACCACCCTCACATCTCTCAGTTTCCTCTGTTGGACTGGAGAACCTCCTCTGTATTCATACCATCCGTTTTAACCTTGCGTCCAAATGACTTTCTTCTCACTGAGACTGCATTGTTTTTAGGTTTCATTTTAGGACTGTTTTTCTTGTCATTTTTGTTTTCATTGGACTGAAAAGTTCTTGTTTTTATCGTATGAGAGAAACGAAAGATTAAACAAGTCTTACATGTGCGTGCGTGAGTGTGTATGTGCACGCGAGTCGCCGCTTCTTTCATTCCGCTGAAGGGTGATCGCCCTCTCCCTCTCTCCTTCACATTTTCTCAGGATCACTCTTTTTGGAGAGAGTCCAAAAGAAAAAGAAAGTCAAAGGAAGAAATTATGTTTTTCCCCACTCCTTTCTGTAACGCTTACAAAAAACGGTACCAGAAAATACCATGGTATTATTTGTACCATATCGGGCTAATTTCGGTAATTTGGGCAGTGTTTTGACATCGACAGGATGGAATATCATGGTATTTTAGTATGGTATCATATTATATTTATAGTGATGAGATGGGAGGAAAAATTATATTTCAATGCTATTGCGTTTGCATTTTCTCGCAAAAGTAGTGAGAAATTTTGCACTAGTTCACAAAATATTCGCATTTTCTCGCAAAACTATTGCGTTCCCCTTAAAAACTTTGCATTCTCTCGTGAAACATGTTTTCTAAAAGTATTGCGTTCACCCAAGAAAGTTTGCATTCATTCGCAAAACATTTGTGTTTTCTTGCAAAACTATTGCGTTCCGCTGAGAAACTTTGTGTTTGCTTGTAAAAGAACTCAAATATAGTTTTTCTTCCTTAATTCCTAATATTATTTCCATCACAAAAGATTTGTGAGCGAACACAAGAGAATACAAAAGCATTGAAATATAATTTGGTATTACCATCAACAATGCATGGAGATATGGATGAAAAAGAAGCTCATTGAAGATTAAACAGCATTCGGAGGCGCCGATATCTTGAGATGAAGCAAATCTTTTCTCTGAAATGAATCAATATCAGAGAAACACAAGAGCACAGCTGCTGAGAGAGATTCCCTCCAGTGCTGCTTGATGAACGGGAACCTAAATCATCAATATAACACCAGAAAAGACATCAAAACAGCTCTCAAACCAGCTTTTACAGCCAACCTCTACATTTTAAAGCATTGCGGAGTATTAAAACGCATTGTATGTGCAGTCTCTGTGTACAAATGCATGAGAAAGCATGGTTTACACGTTCAGATTTTAGGATGCGATGCTGTATTGATGTATGGTATTGAGAAGCCTGGGCCAAATACACATTTAAAGTCATTTGGGTTTTCTTCCTTTTTTTAATTGTGAAAGAATTGACAATCTTCTGTAATGTGTATAACAATACACATCAGCATTCAAATACTAAGTATTTTTACACAACTGCCTCAAATTCATGTCTGATGTGTTTTTAGGTGATTTTTAAGTGCATGAAATGGATGTAATAGTGGATTAGGTGGTGTTAGCAACGACGGAATGATACCTGATAGTTTTTGTGGTGTTGGTGTGTTTATGCAACGTTTGCGCTGTAGAGTTGAATGCCCCTCAGCTGGTCTGCAGTTACCTTTTTATACATTTTATGAATGCTTTATGGACTTTTCCTGTTTTTTAAGAAAGTTGGATGGTTTTCACTGAGATTGCCTTAGTTAGGTTTTCCATGGACTTCCATGTTTTATGTTTTTGTCCTGTCCTATACAGTGGGAAAGCCACACTTAAAATGTATGAATTTCTTAGCAGAAACATAATACAGGCACACTGTTAAAGCAAGATATTTCACAAAAAGCACTTGAAGTTCAAAACGAAGACAAAAGTCAAATGTTAATGTGATAGTTTTTGCTTTGTGATTGCTTTTGATAGTTAATGTGATACTCTACACAAGTGAACTTGAGGAAAAAATCACCAAAACTCTAGCAATCGAAATTGCCCAATGGCTCAGAAAAGTGACATTTGAAAAGCTCATTCATACTATTGAATCTGATTTAATAGCATTCAGACATTTGTAAGTGTGACTTGAGTATCAGAATACTTTTTAGGCCACTAGCTTGGCTCTCCTGAACATCTCTCAAAACTTCAGGACACCATTGATATCAAAAGGGCAACTCTCAGAAGTTTTACACAAGTTGCAAACGGGGATGTCGATCTTTCACAGACCTTTGTTGTTGCATTCAGGGCTGGCTTTTGTGATTGCTTTTGATAGTTAATGTGATACTCTACACAAGTGAACTTGAGGAAAAAATCACCAAAACTCTAGCAATCGAAATTGCCCAATGGCTCAGAAAAGTGACATTTGAAAAGCTCATTCATACTATTGAATCTGATTTAATAGCATTCAGACATTTGTAAGTGTGACTTCAGTATCAGAATACTTTTTAGGCCACTAGCTTGGCTCTCCTGAACATCTCTCAAAACTTCAGGACACCATTGATATCAAAAGGGCAACTCTCAGAAGTTTTACACAAGTTGCAAACGGGGATGTCGATCTTTCACAGACCTTTGTTGTTGCATTCAGGGCTGGCTTTATTGTGTATATATTGGTGTACCTGTATGTATATAACTATTTTGGGGTGGGGAGGTTCTCTGAAATGCAAGGGCAATGATTCCATTTTTGTTTTCATCCACGAAAAATCTGGGGACTGTTCTCCTGCAGATGCAGGTATAGTGGCCTTGTGGCATGAGTTCAGATTTTAGGATTTGTCACACTGGCCTGGTTTTCTCTATACCTGGATATTTCTCAGTTTGGAGACTTTAGGGCTTTTCTATAGACCTGTCACTTCCAAGAACTTTCATCCACGAAAAATCTGGGGACTGTTCTCCTGCAGATGCAGGTATAGTGGCCTTGTGGCATGAGTTCAGATTTTAGGATTTGTCACACTGTGGCCTGGTTTTCTCTATACCTGGATATTTCTCAGTTTGGAGACTTTAGGGCTTTTCTATAGACCTGTCACTTCCAAGAACATACTCGTTTATCTGAAACCTGTTAGCCCAATGGAGCGTTGCATACAGAAATGTTTTTTTTTTTTAATGTCACATTATTTGCCTTGTTATTTGATTTTGAAAAGAATGGTAAGCGTTTTGGAAGAAGTAACGGTGAAGGGTTTGGGTGTTTTGAGAGAGTTTTCAAAAACAAGAGTGAAAGTGAAGCTGTTGAAGTCAATGTATAGGTGTTCACCATTGAGGAGACTGCTGTTTGTGTTTTTATATCTGCTAATATCAAGAGCTAATTTCCAAAACATACACAGGAGAGAGAGAGAGGGAATGGAAAAACCCAGCTGGTGATTGTATCTACACTTGTTAGAAATGTTGGGCTTGGGTACCGCTCTGGACTTCCTTATCTAATTTCCAAAACATACACAGGAGAGAGAGAGAGGGAATGGAAAAGCCCAGCTGGTGATTGTATCTACACTTGTTAGAAATGTTGGGCTTGGGTACCGCTCTGGACTTCCTTATGCTTTACTGTTTGCAGGGCGGCTGAGTATATCGTCACTGAATAAAGGTGCGGAGATTAAGCTAAGCTTTTCTGATAAATAGAATGACGGTTATGAAAACCACGATGATGATTATGTTTATGCAACTGATTCAATGATGTTAACAAAATATGAAAAGGCAATTTTTTTTTTCTTGTTACAAAATTTGAGCCAATCTGTCTCTTATGCATTCCTGCCAATGGGCAGAAAATACTGAAGAATTTAGAAAATAAAAAAACATTTTAAAAACAGTCATTGTGTTGTCTCTTGGAGATGCCTGGAGTAATGTGTTCATTTAAAATTCTACATATATCTCTAATGTGAACACCTGAATGGACTTTATACTTTATCTCTTTAAAGGAATTGTTTGCCCAAAATTAAAAATTAAAAATGATGAAATTGTACTTACTCATAGCCATTTCAAGATGTAGATTAGTTAACGTTATTTATTTTTGAAACAGATTGGGAGTTTCATCTGAATCAGGACAGAAATAAGCACAGATCAAGCACCGTTTATAAGCACAAACAGTCCAAAACAGCTCTAAACAAATATGTCAGTGGATTTTGATGTGAGATGATAACTTTTACA